CAAAAAAGATATTTAGAAATGGTAAGTATATCATATTCATAATTTCTATGACTGTTAATCATAGTTGCCTCCTGTTAAATATCTAGAAGCACAGAGACTTGCTTCCTACTTTCATACTTTTTATTTAAATCCTTTTTAGAAACAGATTTTGATCTATACAATGTAATCTAAATATATGTGAAAAATAAAATATAATATAATTTTACTTTTTTATTTAAATTGATATTCTCAAAGAGTATTATTTCAAATTATAATATTTATGATTAATCACATTTTTTAGTCATAAATATATATAATTGAATACTCTTAAATTATAAATTGGAATTTTGGTAATTCTTTTGAAAAGCAAATTGAGTTTTATTACTAAAATTTTAATAATCAAAAGTAAATAGAAGTATCAGAATTAAATTTGATCCTTAAAGATTCAAAAGATAATTAATTACCTCACTTTTTAGTAGGACCCCTATGCATCTATGGATATCATTTCTTTAGAGTCTCTCTTATTTTATACTCCTACCAAAACTATTCACATGTAAGTCAATTTTACCTCTGAAGAGTAGAAGACTTAATATTTTCATATTTTTCACTCTATGCTCTTACCTTGTAGAGTCAAGTTTATTAGCTTTAAAGATGACATGTTTTTGGATGGATTTGCTGGATTGTTGTCAGTAAGCTCAAGCCTTAATTGATTATACCTGGTTATTTCTTTTGTAATATATAGCCCATTTTTCATTTTCTGCTAATTCATCAGTCCTATTTATCCTTCATAAACTAGCTTTTAAGCAAGGGATCAAGAGATAAGATCCACTATAGATGGATTTATCTTCAAAGTTCTATTAGGGCCAAGTAAGCCTAAATTCTATGTTCTCTTAGAGCAGAGAAGCTACAGATATCATTAAAAACATATAAAAGATCTAAAAGAGACCTTATATTCTTTGGATATTAGAGCAAAATTGCATTGCTAACATTTCTTGAATTTGCATAACAAATACAATAATGATAAGTATTGATTTTGGACGATTACTTTATGAAGACTTCAGAAGATATTGAATTTAATCAACGAGCGATTAATTCTTGAGGTTTTCAACTTTTTTTTATATTTAATCATTAAAAATAATTATAAAACTTAGAATTTGCTTTTCCAAAACTAAGATGAAATATGCATAGTCATGACATTCCAAAATGATATATATTACAACTCATATTATTATTTTCAGAACTAAATTTTAATTTTTAAATGATAAATGTCAAAGAGAAATCATTAAAACTACTTCATTTGGACATTCTTATATAACTATAAAGTAGAGTGAACTAAGTAATGCTTTAAATAAGAAACTATTTATTAATAGCATAAATTTTTATCTAATAAACTTTGAAAATCCATTAGAAAATCATTTACTGATGATTATATTTTTAAATAAAAATTTTTTTTGCCTTAATAATTAAACTTCAAAAATTTGTCTTGTTCCCTCAAGAATTTTTATTTTTAATAATTTAGAATAAATATTTATAATATAATTTATTCTAGAACTTTTTGATACATTATAATACCTGAAAACTTATTTTCTTTATTTGGTTATTTATAAACAATTCATTTAATCTTACTATCAAATGATTGTGGACTATAAGTAAACTTTTTCTTTATTAAAGTTTTTAAGTAAATGCTTCATATTCTTCTTGAGTTTTTCTTGAAAGCACTAAATTTTAATAATGAATCAGATTAAATAAATATTGAATAATATTTAATATAGTATTGAAATCTGAATTTCTATACTTTATTTTATTAAGAAATAATGATAAAAAAGGTAGCTATTTAAATAAATACCCTCTCAGTCATTTGATTTGCAATATTGAATCAATTCTTAAATCATTTAAAATGATACATTATAATTGAATAATGAATTTAAACAAAATTTAATTTATTCATTCTAAGTTTTTCAAAATGGTCTATATATACCCCCATCTGAAATTATGTTAATTTTTTTTCTATTAAAGTTATTATAATTTACATAGCTTAAAACTAGCAATCATATTTTTTAATATAATCATCTTTTATATAATTAATCTTCAAAATAATATAGCTTTTTTTAAGGAAAGTTAATTTTATTTTGATTTTGAAGTTAATAATTAACTTATAACATATTTGAATAATCTATAATAATTAAATTTTTCTAGTTAGTTTAATTTCACAATAAGTAATTGAACTTTAGAAGAAAGTTTCGGCAATCCATGATGATTATATTTAGCACATTATTCAATTACATCCTATATGTTCAAAAACTTCATAAATAGATTAGTATATTGTAAATAGATTCACTCATCAAAAAAGAGTTTTCTTTGCAGAAAAATTGATTGTTCTTCACAACTTTATTATTTAACCGTCAATTCAAATGTAGTTTTAAACCGCCTTATCCAGTATTAAAAATCTAGAAAAATGGCTTGAAAGAGCAATTGTATTTGTTAATGAAGAAACGGATCCACAATCTCTAAGTTTACTTCTAGTTTCACTCTTCAAAATACATATACCTTCTCCCCCCCTGTGCTGCATACAGCTGTTGATTCTTTATACTTTATAAAGAATTTTTTCTAGACTGCCTAAGTTGAATATACGTTTGGGTTCTATCACTTGTTTTTATTTCAAGCATCTAGTTTTGATTTTTCATAAAAAATTAAAAGCTTAAAAAATTAATTAACATGAATTTATCGACAGATTGTGAAGCTAATGTAGAGTTTAGGTCATTGGCCGAGACTAAAGAAACACTTTGGCAATTGCCAAGCCAGAGAATTCTAAAGACCCTTCAACAATGGTGAAAAATATATATGAGGTCATTGCATAACGTCAAGTAAGGGCACAAATATAATAAATTTTTAATTATTTAAATAAAATGTTTAATCGGATGATGATCACTAGGAAAAAGACATTATTGGCATCAAAAATCATATAGAAAGTTTAAGATTATGAGGATTTACTAACATCTTGTTTTATCTAAAAATTATTTTAATTACAAGCTCCAATGCATTCCTTCTCTTAAATGGAAAACTACTTATAACAATGTTATGTTATTAGCTAAAATAATATCTACACAAATTTATGAATTTAATATTCTATTTATTTTTATCAAAATATAATCTATATAAAGTAGTCCTTTTTTTTCAATATATTATTTATAAAGATAATCTCCAAGTTCATCTTACTAAAAAAAAAATTTAATTAAATGTATTTATAATATTTAAATTCCATTTGCTCATCCTTCTTGTAAAATTAATTAATAAAATGGCTATACACCATATGTGAAGAAATGATTAATATCTTTCATATAAATTGTAGATCATTTTAATAACAATTTAACAAAAACCTGTGAATTTTGATTATATAATCTAAACTGTAATCTTTATTCCTCTTATTTATTTCCAATAATACTTTTTAATTTTTAGAAATGTTTGATAAAAGAATTCTTTTATTTATCATAATGATTCAATTTTCAATAATTCGTTTAACTTTGTTAAAAAAACAATTCACCAAAATTTTTGATTTGAATTATTATTTTATCGTGATTTGTGATAAAATATAAAGTGACCTGTCAAGATACTGAAACAGTTGAAACCTGAATTAAAAATTATTCAATAAAAATAAATTTTGAAGAATGGCAGAAAAATTAAAATAAATGACAGCTGTCTATTATATGCTTGTATATGAACTCAAAATCAAAATGAAAGATTTATCTCTTATTTTTAATAATCCTTGTCTCTGACGATATTTAATCCAAATAATTAGAAGTAACTCAGAAATAGGAAGGATAAATAATGATGAGGAAGAAATGCGTTAATAAAAATAATAATTCATTTGAAGAATTAAAATATCACCACCTCAAGGGATTCAAAAGACATAAGAATAAGTATTAAAGTAAATAAGTTCCAATAAAAAATAATAAATTTTGGAACAATTAAATTAATGAAAATAAACTTTAAATGAAAAGGGAAAAAATGATGCATGAAACAAGAAGGCTGTGGCAAAATAATTCAAAGAGGAAAATGGATTTTAGAGTTGGCTTGTGAAGCCTCTATTGAAATCAAAAGGGGTTCTAAGACCTTGAATAGTAAAAATATATATTCAATTGCCCCAAGTAGGAATATTGATTATATTTTAGAAGATTATAAGCAAATGAATTTGAAGTAAAAATTGCTTTATTATCATGATTATTTTCCTATCTTTTTATAGGATTTTTGTTTTATGATAATAATAATATTTATTTGCTTTAATTTTTGTTGACTTAGGCCAATATCCTAATAAATGAGGCCCTCATTCACGTCGCAATAATGTCCTATAGCATTTTCCCAACCATAAAACAGCTAAATACATGTGGGACAGATGGCCATGTTTTAATTCCAATTAGGATTCATGTATCCGCCATAATTAACTTAGTAGTATATCTAAAGAACTCAATAATCATATTCTTACACTCTTCTTCTGATTAAATGATGTAGAACAATTCATCTTCTAATCATAACTACCTTTTTTAAAAAAAAAATTTTCAGTCTAAATTAACATTGAGATGTTGCAGCCAGCTAGGAACATATGATCAATCTTGATCATTTCCTTATTTTGAATGTATTATAATTTAAAATTAATTGCCAAAATTTTTATCTGATTCAACCATTTATTTATAAGTAATATTTTTTCCATCTTTATTAATACACACTTTATAGCTTGATGCGAAATACCTTTTACTTTTATATAAGAAGTTTTGAATTGGTACATTTCTCCTATAGCCTGTTTATTTTAATATTGACTTCTCTCTAGCAATGTCTTATTGAAACATGATTTTTTAAAGGGAGTCAGAGTAATATTATAAAATCACAAAAGATCAAAATTGAAGATAGAGTTGATGAAGTATAAAAACTCTGTCAGGTATTTAGAATCAGAGAAATTTTATCAAAGTTAATTGAACGGTCTTCTCCTTCCATTGAATAATTAGATCATCAATCATTCCATGGGTCTTTAGAAAATGCATGTTAAGGCCTATTCCAATTCATCAGGTTCTGATTGTATCGCCATTTGAACTTCATTTATCCTATTGGAGTTGATGTCTGGTTTCTATCTTTTAAGTTCGGATTTTGATTTATTGTCTTCTATTATTAAAACTTCTTTCTTTTAAAAACTGTCTTAGGGTTCTCTTCAAAATTACTTTCTCCATCAAATGAGGAGGCTTTTTAGACTCTTCCCTTTTAATATTCATGACATTTTTTCCAGTTATATCTCACCACTCCAATTTCTTTCTCCTTATCTCTATAGAGCTTGTTTAACAGCTAGAGTTGTGATTTGTTGAACCATATGTGATGTAAGTCATTATCTTCATCAGTTATAAAATGATAAGTTGATTCAGCATCTTTTTATTCGTTGATGTAAGTATAATTGTGGTAGCTTTGAAGGAGAATGATTATAGAGTAAGTCAACATGAAATTTTAAGGCATCTATTAAGTGATGAACAGAGTAAAGTTAGAATTTTTGAAAAAGGGATAAAAAAAAATTAAGAAGGGAATAGAGAGACTTGAATATGGAAATATATATGCTCAATCAAATTAAAGACAGTTAAAACAATATATCTTAATTTTTTTATCCTAATTTTTTTGCTTTATTACCTTTCAAATACGAAAATTGGAAGAAGCTCGAGTTAATAATTCTCCACTTATAGCAGTAACCTTAAACATTCGATAATTATAATAATATTTGATGGTTTATCTGTAAAGCAAAAGTTGAATTGTTGCACTGCATTACTTTATAGATTATAGATTAAAAATCCAAAACTAAGTAATACAAGTGTTGCTGGAAAAGTTTTACAAAATTTTAATTTTAGCGAAAGATTCTTAAATTTTAATAGATTTCAGTAGATAAAAGAGACAAAACTACAAAAAAGCAAATCTTTCTATATTTAAATTATCAATTAAATAGTTATTCATTATCATCCAAGAATAGT